CCAACAATAAACCATCTTTCCAAGCAGCCTCCATGTCTCCAGTGTCTTTTTCCCCACTTGGAGCCGAACCCAGAAGGACATTTCTTTCATCAACTGCAAGCTTGTACTGCAACAGTTGTTGTAGTGTTTTAGGCTTGAATGGCATACAAGGCCTTCTAGACAAATATAGATGGCAAAACCATGATATACAGGTAGTTCTCTACTTATGACCACAATTGAGCCCAAAATTTCTGTTTCTAAGTGAGGCATTTGTTAAGCGAATTTTGCCTCATTTTATGATCTTTCTTGCCACCATTGTTAAGTGAATCATTGCAGTTGTTAATAACATGGTTGTTAAATGAATCTGGCTTCCACATTGAATTTATTTGTCAGAAGATTGAAAAAGGGGAACAAATGACGCTGGTATATTGCAACTATCATTAATATGAACCACTTGCCAATCATCTGAATTTTGCTCATGTGATGCTGCAACAGTACCTTAGTGTGAAAAACAAGTCATTTTTTTTTTCAGTTCTGTTGTAACTGAACGATCACTAAGCAAATTGTATGTCCAGGACCACTTGTAGGTGCTTTGAAAATTTAACATTTTTGGCAGTTTCAAGAGGAAAAAAGGCATTCGAACTTTATTATTAATTAATTATCATAATTATTCCCCCACCATTATGTATCTTAAGCCCAGTGGATGCCGTCAATTTATGAAAAACTCTTTGTAAATCACTGTTCCACTAATGCTGCCTATTTTAACCTATTTTTTCACATGCATTTAGCCTGGAATGTTACAATATTAATTACTCTACTGCATTTATTGTATTGGAAATACATCAGTGTCTAATAAAGTCTGTAAATAGAGTAATAAAATAAAATAAAATAAAACAAAATGGAACTGAACACTGATCCTACAGAAATAGGCATGCTGCCAGAGAAAAGCAACAGCTTGTTTAAATAGGAGGGAGTAAAACAGACTGCTGTTTTTTGACCCCATGGCTGCTTGAAAAGTATGTGGATTCCAGTTCTGAGAGCCCTCTGGGTGAGGTAAAGGGGCAAGCAGCTTTGCTAACTAATAACCCCTCTATTTTATATAGTATTTGTGGATACCTGCGGATTTTATTGGAGACTTAATAAAGATGATTATAGCCTCTATATTCCATCTTGGCTGGCTGCTTCCCAGAATTGTTTTGCAGGATAGTTTTAAAAATATCGATTCGCTCTGCGAGCTGACTATAATTACAAAAAACCACTAAAAAATTAGGAACGTCTTAGTTCCAGCACTAAAGTGTTGTAGGTTGTAGGGGAAAGGCACGAAGCAGCGGGTTTCTGTAGTGTAGTGGTTATCACGTTCGCCTCACACGCGAAAGGTCCCCGGTTCGAAACCGGGCAGAAACAGCTACTTTCTTTTCTTTCACTTTTATAATTTAAAAAAAACCCAATACTTCGGATGTCTATTACTTTAGTGGGAACTCTTTTTTTCCATAATGTCTATAATGATTAATGGTAATTCAGAGGAAAGTGCTCCAATAGTCTTTTGCTGGTTTTACGCTGCATTCTAAACTTCGGAGCAATTTTTCCAAACAAGATAAGATTTACTTGGTCAAGATTCACATCATCTACCTAGACAATAGTAACGTAGTAGTAGTACAAATGGTAAAGTATAGTGTACTAATAGAACGAACTCAGAAATATAGAATTAATACATTTTATGTTAAGTAAAACTTTGGAAAGCAAGGTTTCCAACAGCCCGGCTAGCTCAGTCGGTAGAGCATGAGACTCTTAATCTCAGGGTCGTGGGTTCGAGCCCCACGTTGGGCGCAGTGTTTTTCCTCCTCTTAATTTCACTTTTTAGAAGCAAAACACCATAAATGAATACTGTCGTTCTTTATTTTTCCACCCTAGTTCAATCATTTGCAGCTCAAGCAACAACGGTGGGAATTAAAGGAGACGAAGAGTGCATTATTCTTTTCTCTATTTTGGTTTTCTTCACTTTTCCATTCTTCCCTGAATATTAGACTCTGCTTGGGTACTTAATTTTGCTTCACCGTTTTTCAACAGTTAAAAAAAAAATATTCTTGTGTAAGCCTCAGGTCTGGAATATAACCCCCAAATGCTCGAAATATGTGCACATGGGACAAGAGCAGATCATGCAACATTACTTCCTGCTTTTCAACGGTAGATACACAACAATCTTATTATATAAACGGCTCACATCAAGTTGAGGTAGAGAGCTGTAGAGTTAATCTTCCTTAAAACTGGACCCTACAGATTTTGGATCTATTCTATTTTCCTAACCAAATAAATCACTTTATCAAGGTATGTTATGTTTGTATATTTTTCCCTTGGATGTCACATTCAAAAGATGAAGAAAATAATCACTGCTAAAAATAATCATTTAGCATAATCATTCACAGCAGATGAACTTTGAAAGGAAAATATTGTGTCTTATTTCTTTTTGTGCTTTTGTCCTATTTTCTAAAGTGAATTTTTAGGCCTCATAATACTAGAGTTCAGTGCTGAAACTTTTTTTCTTTCACAAGATTCCCTTCAGAGGCTGCAAAACCGTGCACCCATATGCAAGTTCACACAGCAATTTATACGTATATACAGTATAAGTCCACCACACAGACACATATCTGCGCACAAACACGTTGGACACATTATGCCAAGACCCAACTTTTCGGAGAAGGTTCTGGTGCCGGAAAATGTGGAAAGAAAGAGGAGGAGGAGATGACCAGCAACAAGGATATTTATGTGATAATGATTGCACTATGTTAGGTTTAGATTGTTATGGAGAAAATCTATCTACCGGTTGCTAGGAATCAGAAAACAACTGAATGGCACACTGTGTGTGTGTGTGGTGTGTGTGTGTAAGAGAGAGGGAGGGAGAGTGGGAGAGAACGAGGAAGGAAGGTAGGGAGAAAAGGGGAGAGGGGGGAAAAGATTAACATTAATAAATATGCTTTTATTTCAATATTCTTTCCCCACAATTTTCTATTCCTATCTTTTTTAAATCACTGGCATTCCTCGTTTTAAAAGAAGGCAAATTGTTGTTTGCTGAAAAGTTTAGAAAATGGATTTTCTAATTGATTGCAAGGGTGGTTCCCTATAAGGAGGTACATGGGAGATCTGATGAGCCAGTTTGCAGCGACTTGCTGAGATGGGTCTTTGTCCCCAAGTCCTTCGCTTCACTATCACCACCATCTTCCCACAATAGGATTCCTAACACCCCATCTCTGCAAAGTGCAATATTGTGTGGGTACCCTCTCTTAGTCAGCGACCAACGCAGAACTACACTACCCAGAGGGCCTTCCCGCGGCATACCACTCTCCAGACTACATTTCCCACCATGCTTATCGAGGCAACACAAAAGGCCGCAAGAATTTGGACGGAAAGTGGCTCTGAGATGGGCATCGGCGCTCCGGCGCTGCGGTTTAGAGCCGCCTCGGGATTGAAAGTCAGCTAAAGCGCTTGGGCATGGAGCCCGGTAAGTTCCTGCGATGGGGCTAGAGGAAGGCAGGGTGCCTGGACAACTTTCCGGGTGCCTCCCGAGGAATGGGGTGCCCAGAAAGAGATGGTTATATGGAGCATTGCGCTGGCCGTTGCCTTATTGATTGGGGTGAATTACTTCTAGGCTGCGCGGACGAAGACAGGAAAGATTTAAAACCTGGGGAAAGTGTGTGAGACCTAGCCGCGAGATCCTTTTCTTTGTAACATGTTTGCTCGCTTTTCCATTTTAGGAAAAATAGAACCGGAGTTGGTTTTTTCCCCCTTGCATGAGCGTTTCCAATGAATTTTGGTCCTTTAATTTGGATGAAATCATCCTTTATTTATTAAATTTAGATAGCCGTTTATCTCACATACCTGACTCTCAGCGTCATACAATAACACAAGTAAATAATATAATCATTAAAAATGTAAAACATTTAAAACACAGGTATAACTAAGACTGCGGGATTATGGATTTACAGCTGTACAGAGATAGCTGCCTTGGGAGCTCCCTACTTCCCTGGGATACTAAGCCTGTTGAATTTAAGATATTTAAGATATCCTAAATATCTTAAATTTAAGATATTTCCTAAATGTCGTTCCAACAGTGATCTGCCAAAGGTGACCTGTGATTCAGTGAAATCCGCATAGGAAGCAGGTTGGGCAATCAATCCCGTATTTTTGATACAATTAGATGGGGATTGAATTTGGAGGTGAGAGTGATTTGCTTCCCAGAGATTTTGTGAATCCATTTCCAGCAATATTGCAATGTTTTCATTACAGAAATAAAGTTCTTGTTGCAATGTGGCATTTTTCTCACTATATTTCAACATCGTAGATCATTTTCAAAGTTGTTTGGAGACTTAAAGTGTAGAAACAAGTATGTTTTGTCGTAGATTTTCCAATGTTATCTTGGACTTTTTATGCCAAAATTCATCCCTCTTGAGTGTCAGGAATTTTGCCACTGAATTTTGGCAACATGAACAATTATTGGTGTATAGAACAGTGGGCTGGCTACCCCCACTATGAACTACATTATAGACCCACAGAGATTCATACATGCTGAAAACAAATACATTACATGATATGTAAACTCAATCAAATATTTCTTCTAAACCAAGAGAGGGGTGTTTTTTAAATGCCATACAGTCATACATTCTCACAGATAAATTTAAAGCATTAAATTCCTGCATTGCACTAAGCTTGTGTATTTGGTTGTTTTGGCTTAACACATTGGGAGTACCTAGCAAGGTATAATGTTCTTTCTGTTATCTAACACAATAAGAACAAATAGGCTTGGTAACAACTAAATAAATCAATAATACATGCATGGGCAGAGCCAATCACATACACAAGGTGTAGGTAAGATGCTAGACTAAAAATAGGGGGAAAGGTAAAAGTTTTTCTTGCCCAGTTATGCCTGACTCTATGGAGCAGTAGTCATCTGTTTCTGTTTCAAGGGAGCCTAAATTGTCGAAAGACACTTCCATGGTTATGTGGCTGGCATGATTATATGCCGAGGTGCATGGAACTCTGTTACCTTCCCATTGAAGTTGTACCTATTTATATACTCGCATTTGCATACTTTCAAACTGCTAGGTGGGCAGGAGCTGGGGCAAGTAATGGGAGCTCACCCCATCGCACGGTGCTCAGGTCTCAAACTTCCAGTCGACAAGCCTGACTTCTTAACTGCTAGGCAATCCCCCATTCAAGAATAGGGAAATCCAGATTCTAAACGTCCCTCAAGCATAGAAACCATTTGGGTGAATATAGGCCATTCACTCTCAGGTCTAAACAGCATCAGGCTCTGCAACACAAACTCTTGTCTCATCATTTATTGATGGCTTTGCCATGTGAAATAGGCAAGCAGACCCTGAAATCAAGTAAGACAAATGCTAAATAGAAGAACAATGTATACACATACTCTTTTTACCATAGTTATACGTCTTTTAGTCTGTGATTCACTGCATTTCCCTTCCATCCTGTCTTAAGAGTTTACATGAATCATTGCCTACCTCCAGAATGGAATTTAGTACATGTACAGCAAATGGCTTTAATTTCCCCTTTGCATGCACAGAACCAGCAGTTCAACCATTTTCTCAACCTTGCAGTTGGGTGCTAAAGGAACTAGAAAAGGAATAGAATACATCTGCTGGAGCTAGACTTTGTAACTGCCTTCAGGACGGTGATGTTTCTTTTAACATTTATGATTTTAACAAACATAACACTATCTCCATCAGGAATAAGATGTACAAAGCCTTGAGTGCAGGGAGAGATTTAAGTTCCCCTCTTTTTTCACACTGCCTCCCTATTTGCTCCTCTAGGATCAAAATCCCAGATTCGTTTTGGCCTCCTTTTGGTGGAGAATAAATGACCGATGGGCAGCTTCTCTTCCTTTTAGCAGGTGAAGCCTGGATCAAGAGAGAAGGTAACAAAGGATCTCTCCAGCCTCTGAGGGATGCCCTGCTGGTTGATATGGAACAGCCACCAAAAAAACTATCTGAGCAAAGTGAAGATCTCCTGGAATCTAAACCATTAAAAACGCTGAAGAGGGATCTGGGCAAGCATCAGAATCCTTTTACAGAGGAGATTTGTTTTGACTATGAGAACAGCCCTCGGAAGATGCACCTAAATGACCGTCCGTTTAAGTGTGACGTGTGCGAGAAAAGCTTCCGCCACAGTTCCAGCCTCTTAACCCACCGAAGGCTGCATACTGGGGAGAAACCATATAAGTGCACTGAGTGCGGGAAGAGCTTCAACACCAGCTCAGCGCTGATCGTGCACCGCCGGACCCACACCGGAGAGAAGTCCTACGTCTGCTCAGACTGTGGGAGGTGTTTCAGCGAAGGCTCGGTGCTCATCAAGCACTGGCGGATCCACACCGGGGAGAAGCCGTACAAATGCGCCATTTGCGGAAGGGGCTTCCGGCAGAGCTCCCAGCTGCGGGCCCACGAGCGGACCCACACAGGGGAAAAACCTTACGAGTGCCAGGACTGTGGGAAATGCTTCAGCACCAGCTCTAATCTCTCGGCCCACCAGCGGACCCACACGGGGGAAAAACCATACATCTGTCCTGAGTGCGATCGACGATTTGGTCACAAGTCGCATCTCATCTCCCACCAGAAGACACACACCGAGAAGCTGCACGCTTGCTCCGACTGCCCAGCAACCTTCCGCATGCTCCACCAGCTCCTGGTCCATCGCAAGTCACACCAGGAAGAGAGGCGATACAAATGCCTCCTGTGTGGAAAGACTTTCAGCTACAGCTCAGCCCTCTTGGCACACCAGAGGATGCACACGGGAGACCGGCCATTCAACTGCCTGGAGTGCGGGAGGAGTTTTGTCCGGAATTCAGACTTGAACAAACACCAGAGGATCCACACAGGGGAGAAGCCCTATGAGTGTCCAGAGTGTGGGAAACGATTTAACCAAAGCTCCCACCTGGTTAGCCACCGGAGAGTTCACATGAAAAGCGTTGCGAAAAATCTTGGCACGGATGTCCCCGCTCCAAGGGGACGACAAATAGTGTCTTCCCGATGAGCTCTTTTGCATCATTTCTTTGTTGAAAGTCTACTCCAGAGGTCTCCAAACTTGGCAACTTTAAGATTTGTGGACTTCAACTCGCAGTTCCCCAGACAGTATGGAGAATTCTGGGAGTTGAAGTCCACAAGTCTTAAAAGTTGCCAAGTTTGGAGACCCCTGGTCTACATTAGGAAGGCTGCAGTATTGTGCTCCTTACAGGAGAGTAAACTCTCATCCCATCCAGTGGGACGTCATTGATTATAGGTAATAAACCTGTAAGACTGTTGTAGGTTTTTACGCCACACACTAACAAAGAAAATTCTGCTCCAAGTGACTTCAAATGATTCATTAAATGACAATAGGTTACATGGCCAGGATATCTTGTGAGATATACATTAGTTGTTGTAATTGGAGCTGTTTCTGTAGAAAAGAGCAAAAACATCTGCAAGACCAAGATACTATTATCTGGCTATTGTTTAGCCCTTCTCTGACTTCTGTTGTCTCATGAAGCATGTTTTTAAGCTTATCATTGCGACAATGAGGGTTTATAAACTTGCGATATTGTTGCTGTTTAATCAGGCTATATTCTTGAGCTGCTACCATGTATGACTAGAGGCATTTATCTCCTTATGAGAATGCAGAATGCTGATACTGTTTAGGACAACTGGGGCAGAATAGTGTTTCTTTTTTTTTCTCTCCCTCAAGTTGGATTCCCCCCCCCCCCAGTGTTTTTAGATCTGAAGAACCTCAGTGGTTAAGATCCACTGGTTAAAGTTTAAAGACAACACACTTTCCTTGAAGTGGGAAAGAAGAGCTTTAATCGTTTTTTTCGCTGCCAAAGGTACAGAGAAATAATTTGAACTGACACTCATCTATTTTCTATAGATCACATAGTAATGTACTATCAGCTATCTACTTTCAGAAGAAATAGAACTCCAGCTGGCTTTTAATGACAACATTCCATTAACCACATTCCCCTTGTTTTAATAAAACTTTAAAGCTAAAGAATAGTCTTAAAGGAAAGTTATTGTATTTTTAACCAAATGTATGAATGCCCTGGTTTTTGTTACTCCTTTATCAAACATAGTGGCTGATTTAATTACTACTTACTTCTATGAGATATAGTATCGGTAATTATTACAGACATTGATCAATTATGAATAATTCCCATCATCCAGATAGCTGCACTACACTCTGGATAGCTTATTTAAAAATTGCGGCATCTGAATTTTCATGTATGAAATCTACATATCTCAAAGACTTCCATGGCTTAAGTCATCCATTTTGCCTCTTGAAACTTGTAAACGGCTTCACTATTGTGGAAATACAAGCCAAATGGGTTTAAAATTGTAGTTTTATTGCAGGGTCCTATTTTACTCAAAAGTTCTTGCCATTTAATCTTGAGTACTGGTTGACTTCAATCTTTTTATTAGAGTTCCATAATTATATTTGCTCTATGACAACTGAGAGCTGTTTGGTTTCTTAATGTTGACTTCATTTTGCTAGCAGAAGATTTCACTATATACACTATATGGGCCACTTCCATGACTACTTCCTGTTCTTGATAAAACAGATCTCTGAAATAACGAGTATATGCTGCAATAAATATATTAGTCTTTAAACTGCAACAGATGTTTAGGCCCAATTAAATATCGATTGGATCATAGTTTCAGTTAAATGGTGTTTTTCTTGACAATAGTCAGCCTGGAAAGCCTTTACAATGCAATAAAATAATCATACATACAATGAGAAATGCTATTTTGAATAAATACGTTTATGATTTTACCTCATGGATCAAATTATCTGTTGCAAAATCCAAACCTTACTCTATTGCACTGTATTTTGCACTTAAGGTAGGTCAGCCTTTCTTACTCATTACTTTATATATGAAACCAGTGGCAATGCCTCTGAATTTTTATTGGTCTTATAGGAGACCTCCTTTAGAAAGTGATACAAAAATGGTCATTCAAATAATAGTGAATCAACACTGCAAAATTAAACACAAGTAGTTGCTTTGAAGCAATTTGGTGTTATTCACAGTAGTGACATGGATTTTTGTTTTAAAGTAAGTGTGTCTTTGTGCCAGATGAGTCACAAAAAATGTTAAACTTTGCAACCAGAAAACTCCAATCAGATGTATGACAGTACAACCCAAATATATGCATTGTGCAATGGAATAATAGCCTTACATAAATAGATATATGATTGTATTTGCTTGCATGATTCATTTTTAAACTTTACATGTTATTTCCAACTCAGTGTGGAGATAACTTCACTAAGAAACGGTGGAAAAAAACACAGCAAATTATGTTGTAAATTGAGATGCAACTTACTTCACACAGAAATCTTGGCACTGGAATAGATATAGGAAGCCTTTACAGCAGAAGAAAATGAGTGGAGGGGGAAGGGTGTAGGAGTTTCAAGATACAAAGCTCTTCTGCCCCCAATGCAGGAGGAGAGGGAGATGGGAATATAAATGATCTACAATGCCCCAGAAATTTCTCTGTTGAAGGCTTTGACTTCAGATTTGCCAAAAAGACAAGTAGCCCCAGGTCTGATTCTAAATTCTTAATTAAAAGTGCCACCTCACAATTTTTCCATAGCAATAGCAATAGCAGTTAGACTTATATACCGCTTCATAGGGCTTTCAGCCCTCTCTAAGCGGTTTACAGAGTCAGCATATCGCCC